CTCCCCCCCCCCCCCCCACATTCCCTTTCTGTATTTTGTTTTAACATAATATGATCACACTAGAAATATTTGAGGGATCTAGGAATACAAACTAGATCTCTTGACTCCCATTCCTGAGTTAGAAACACAATATCAACCTTCCTTCAATAGCATCACAGCAAGGTTTTGTACCATCACTGTGCTGTATTTTTTAGTAAGGAATTACAGGTGTCTCTTTTATTTTAAAGTTTTTCCCCCCTTTATCCATTTTTACTACATTTTGGGTGAAAGCTTTTCCATACTAAAGATAGATTTTTTTTCTCATTAGGCATCTGTGTTCACCTCTCTTCTGTGGCACCAAGAGAAACAAAGGTGTGGTATTTGGCTGCAAAGTGAAAAGGGGAGAGGAGCAGAGCCAGTGTGGCATGTTGTTTACCTTTCCCAAAGCTCTCAAGATCCTCTCTGTGACAACTAGAACTTAGCAACACTAGAGCAGTCTGGATTTGTGGGTGTCTTGGCTGGCTGAAGGGGAGGAGGGTGTCAGAGTTAGCAAAAGTGCTCCATGACATCCCCCCAGCAGAATACAGATGATTTAACTTAAGATGTCAGTGCTGCCCTTTCAGTACAAATTTATAATCTGCAGCATCAACATTATTCAGAGGGGGGTAAATATGCAGTCTATAAACTGGTCCACACCAGTGTTCCTCTAATTTTTCCCACCCTGAGTGGAGCAAATTTTGTTATGGGTGGAGGTGTGTGGCAGGGTGAGGACAAAGCGTTCTAAATGTGGGAGAGAGCTCAGGCTTGGAGCAGAGCATTGGGGTGCAAAGGAGGGAGGGAACTTATTGGGGATGCAGGTTCTGGGTGTGGCCAGATATGAGAGGCTCAGATCTGGGACAGAGGGTTGCAATACAGAGGTGGAAGAGCTCTGGCTGAGGATGCAGGCTATAGGATGGAGCTGGGTTGAGGGATTGTGTGTGAAGGAGGTTGCTCCAGAGCTACAGTGAGCATGTGGGCTGTGAGGGAAAGGCACCACTCCCTGCTGTGGCAGCTCTGGAGCTTGTACCACAGGATAGGCATCTCTCCCCCAGCTCCCACAAGTCAGCCAGTACTGGGTTGGAGCTGGGGAAGGCCCTGACTGCAACAGATCCTGGAGCTATGGCAAGGATCCCAGGGTCAAGCCTGTCCCTTTCCTGGCCACAGCAAGCTGGAAGCCAGGCTCTTTAGGGGTGAAGGAGGGGCAGCCCTTCCCTGGTTATAGCATATCCCTGGGTGGGGTCGTTGACTACCTGCCCGTTGCTAAATAGGTAGTGACGCAGCTGCGCAGCTTACACGAAATTATGCCTATATTACCACTTAAGTCCATGTAACTTCTGTCACCCAAAGATACCACCTAAGCAATGTAAGTTATAGCAACCTAAGTGCTGTCCACACTGGTGCTATTTCTGTAGCAAATGCTCTCCTGTGGACATAGCTTTCGGGAAGATGGCAGAATTATGTCCACAGGAGAGTATAGCTCGCCTTCAACAGATGTGCAGATGTAGTGCTATAGTGTAGACTTGCCCATAGTGTGACAGACAATAGAGCCACAAAGCTAGAGCCATGACATCTAGGGATGAGTATGAGGTCTGCAGCCTTAAATGGCAAGTATTCTCTATGCAGTTTTGGGGTGTATGGATTTGGGAGGTCATGCCCTGAGTCACTTCTGCAAAACCTCCTCACTCCAGGGCAAGCATACCCAGAGATAGTTTGCCTTAAATTTTCCTCTTCTTCAGGTTTCTGTGTAGGAGTGGGTCATAAAGCCCACATTTGCTTTGCCTTCTTATAAAAAAAATCTCCATTTGCCTTGCTACTGTGTATCTCACATTATGTCAGTTGCAGCACAGAAGGGAGCAAAAGGAAGTGGGTGGTGACATACTTGCTGAGTTTCCCCTTAAGATATACCACATCTTGTTGCTAGAGAATCTCCTTGTCTTGCTTGTTGTCTCCTTCCAAAAGTTTGGTTTTCTTTCATCTTCCTGAGCAAAGAGTATGAGAATAAGAGAATTGTTTCATTATACGACTATTACATTAAAATAAATAAATGAGCACATCAAGTATACAACTATTTTCATAGTTGTCTTATGAAATCTATATATACAGTTAAAACTATTGAGACATATTCCACCTCTCAGTTACGCTAGACAAGTCCAGAGAATCATCACTGACTTCAGTGCAGTTACTCTGGATTTGATGTGGTGTCACAGAAAGCAAGAATTGGCTCTTTAGTGAGTGGCCTACATGAGTAGCCTTTCTTCATCTAAGATGGCAAAAAGTCTGTTGTAACCAAGACAGGTCTCCTGCTATAAGCTAGTTCTGCTAACTGCACTTGCATACTTAGAATTTGCAGGATGCGCCATTGAACTGTAACAGCGCTTTGGTTGGATACAGAGGGGCTACGTCTACACTGGCCCCAAATTCCGGAAAAGGGATGCAAAGCAGGTAAGTCAGAATAGGGAAATCCGTGGGGATTTAAATATCCCCCGCGGATTTAAATAAACATGGCCGCCGCTTTTTTTCCGGCTTGGGGAAAAGCCGGAAAAAAGCGTCTAGACTGGCGCGATCCTCCGGAATAAAGCCCTTTTCCGGAGGATCTCTTATTCCTACTTTCCTACCTTTCAGGAAAGTAGGAATTTATTCCTTTCAGGTAGGAAAGTAGGAATAAGAGATCCTCCGGAAAAGGGCTTTATTCCGGAGGATCGCGCCAGTCTAGACGCTTTTTTCCGGCTTTTCCCCAAGCCGGAAAAAAAGCGGCGGCCATGTTTATTTAAATCCGCGGGGGATATTTAAATCCCCCGCGGATTTCCCTATTCTGACTTACCTGCTTTGCATCCCTTTTCCGGAATTTGGGGCCAGTGTAGATGTAGCCAGGGAGTGCATGGCTCTCACAGTCAATGTTGTGTGCAATCACCATGTACTTCACTTTATGTGCATACCACTTGAGTAATACTGATAGGGGGAAAAATTACATGGACAGAAACCAGTAGAATCTGACAATCCTGTGCATGGGCAAGAGTAAACAAAATGTCTTGTGGAGCACATATAGGACCCCAATAGGGAAAGGTGCAAGACATCAAGGCACCCCCTGCTTACCACCCAGATGACTACTGGAAACATCTAAGATTGAACAAAAGGAAGGAAAAGGCCCAGGCTTCTCAGCTTGTGAGAATAGATTATTAGATCTATTTTTAAGGTAAAGAAATTACATGTAACAAGTTTCTTAGAGTATTACGCTTAGCTGGCATGTTTTGTTTTGCTTAGTAACTTACTTTGATCTATTTTCTATCACTTGCAACCACTTAAATCCTACTTTTTATATTTAGTAAAATAACATTTATTTATTAATAAACCCAGTGTAAATAATTGTTTCTGGTGAGAAAAAGGAGACAGCAGCTGTGCATATCTCTCTTTCATGGATAGTGAAGGTGAATATCTTATAAGCTGTATAAACTTTATGCATAGTGTGATGGATTTATCTGGGGTTTTAGTCCTATTGGAGCTGTGCAACTAGGGGCTGCATCAAGTCCCTTTGACTGAGCCTTCCCAGAGCTGAGTGGATCTGAGTGTCTGTATTGCTCTGCTGTGGGTTGTGACCTCAATCCTGTGCCGTTGCATGAGGAAACCGGAGGGTCTGATTGATCAGGACAGGGTAGTAGGGTACCCAAGAGGGCCAGTAGAGAGGCTCAGTGGTATTTCAGCCCACCAAGTGACAGTCTCAAGGGGAGTCTCTGTGACTGAACCTGCCACAA